AAGCTGAAAGGCAAATAAAAACAGAAAGCTGAAATCAGAAAGTGAAAAGTTGTAAACAAAATGCGTTGTATTAACGGGGCAAACCGCCCACATCCCCAAAAATCGAAGGGAAGAAATTCGAGAAGCATTTGTGCTCCCCCCAAAATTTATGTGCAATCAGTCCGACACGTATGCGCTACGTGTGTGCGAGTGTGTGTGCGTTGATGTGGGCGGGGTACCTACTACCACCCACCGCCCACCAAGTCCTGTTCGACATTGACACCCGCAAAGAAACGGCCAACAGCGAATGCCACTAAAACCAAAAACCCAAAAATGCCAAGAGCAAAAACAACAAGCACTGACCTTTAGGACTAAGATGGTGGGCGTGGAAGGGGGCGTGTGTCGGTGTAAACAGGGCGAGTGTGTGTGTGTGCGAGAGTGGAATTGTTAGGCATACAAGCGGACCATTCCATTTGTCATGTGTTTGTGTTTATTTTGGCAAACGCACATTACACTGGACAGCAGGGAAATCGCAATCAAATTTAAGAACCAATATTAAACTAACTTAGCTTGCATTTAAACTATACTGTTAATTTTATATATCGATCGAAATCTTTTCACAAATATTATTAAAGTATTTTTATAATTCACCTGTTATTAGGAATTCTGTTCTTGAAAAAAAGTTATGGGCCTTGCCTAACTAAGTTCTCTTTATTATGATTTCTTTTAAATATTTTAATAATTAGGTTTAAATGAACACATTTCAATATATTGTAGCTCAGTGCCCGAGACAATTCGGTTGGCGCCTTTTTTCTACGGCCATTAATATGATTTTATGCGCCGTTGTTGTGGGTACTTTACCCCAAAGTTGTTTGCTAATGTGCTCGGAATTTTGTGGATATGACAGTCCCTCGAAAATTGCGTTCTTTGCCCCGCCGCCCACTTCGTTTATTACTTTCTCCATTTCGCTGTGCAATTAGCGATGTTTAAAACCTCGAAAGCATTACCCATACGCACCGTGGCCGGCCTGATAGGCCGTATGCCAATTACACAACCGCAAGCAGACGCACACAGCCACACTTCGGCGGCTTCCATTTACAGTCAATTATGCAAAATAAGCACACCAATATACACCCACGCACACAAACCCTACCTGAACTACTGAGCTCATTCTCATTCGCTCCCCCTACCCCTTTTCGCAGAAGCCCCTGTCCCGAGTCTGTGAAATTGGATTGGCCATAATGCAATTGGAAATCCAACCTTGTAGGCCCTCGGGTATGCGGGAATCGGGGTCCTGATCTTTGAATTAACGCCCATAATTAACGAGGCTGCTGGGGCCAGATATGTAAATCGATTAGCCATTCCAAAGCTCGTAATCTTAACGATTTAAGATTTAAATTACCCAAAGACAGCACTTGAAGATGGGACTACTTTAAAAATAGGTAATATTTCAAAAGTCTGGTATGAATAAAACAAAAATTAAGGAATACTCATTACATTAGGCATACTCATACTCATTAGGCATTATTTTGTATACTTTATACAATTTATTCCTGAAAAAATAACTTAAAACATTTTTAAAGTCAGTATTTTAGCCAGCCGATTAAATGACTTTTTATTCAATACTATGTGAGTGATTCATTGGGAAATGTTTAGAATTTTTCTTAATGGTCTCAAAATGAGTTCCCATTATTATCATGATATTTCTTCGCGAAGGTTTTCTTTTATAGAAACCTTTCAAAGTTAAAATCTAGAAAGAAAACAAATTCTGAATTTGGATTGAACATTTCCTTAAAATTTAATAGCTCTAACGATTCTTTATAAAGGAGAAATATTCTTTTCTGCCTGCTTTAATGACTTAATCTTTATATTTAAGTCGCTGTGACGAACGCATACACTCTTTTCTCAAGTCTTCAGCCTTTCTCAACTTATCCTGAAATTCCATTTTCAATGTTGTTTAATTAAAGTTCTCCTTGCACTATTTCTTCAGCACAATACCCCTTTCAACACCTTCTTCCAAGGCTGAGTCGCCTGTTTCCTGAGCTTTCATTTATTCATTTATGGATACGAGTGCCCCATCATTTTCACCACCCTCCCACTGTCTTTCATGGCCCTGCATTTGAGTTTGGGTTCCGCAGAACACCAGGGGAATGCAAGTTATGTCCGGCAAACAATGCGAACAATGGGGACCACCTTTGCATAAATAAAAGGCGAGTGCTGAATTTACCATTTACCATTATGGAAGGGAATGTTGCTGGGACTGTGAAAGGATACCGCATTCAGGACATTTCCCAGCATGCGTGTGCGTGGGTAAACATTTCACTATTTGAAAATTAAATGGATTTCTATTTGGCCTCACTGTCAGGACGAGGCAACTACTTGATGTCTGCCTCTCTGGGCAAACACTCAACCACTTCCCAGGCACTTCCACCAACCACTGGCAAGTGTATGGAAGTACGTTGGCATATGGTGTGTGCCACTGTGGCTATCCCCCATTTTTTGGAGTGTTTTCCCCACCCCGAAAAATCCCCAGAAATCCCCACACCAGTGTCAAAAACAGAGCTGAGCTAGGAACGTCCTGGGGGCGGGTTCTTAAGTGTTCGTAATGATTGTGGCAAGCTAAACTAAGCTAAACTCGACTTGACTAGAAGCCAGTTGTCAGTGTCATCGTCGGGTGAACTCCAGGCAACGCCATCCCACCATAGCCCACCATAACCCACCGAAACCCCTCGGCGTCGTCATTTTGAAGCACCGCCTAGGGAAAATAGTGTTAATGATGCTGATCTCGGAGCACACGCGCCGCATCCTCGAGTGCTTTAATGGCATTCCACATCGCCACTCCACTCCAGCCCCGTTTCTCGTGGTCTCTTTTTGTAGTTTTAAATTTTTATGGCCATGTTGCGCACTTCAACTGGCAATTGTGTCCTCGCAGTCGCCGCCAAAGCGAAAGTTTTGTGGTCACATGAAACTCAATGGTCTTCATCAGACTGCGGCTAGCTGGAATGGCTTTCATTCGAAAGGGTTAGCCAAATTGGCCAGTTGAATCTTAAATCTCTGGTGTAAAAGCTACCCTTATGAATTCTTTAAAGGTTACCGATTTAATTATTCATTAAGATTGATTAGAATTAACCAAGAAAATAAGTGTTTAAGGTTTATGTATTTAATACAAAACATTTGCTGTTTTGTGATATCAAAATTAATATAGTTTAAATTTTAATAAATAAATTTAAAGAAATCTGTAAATACTTTGAAAAACAAATAAAAAGGCATTGTTTAATAATGGTTTTTATTGTTTTTGTAATTTATTGATTAAGTTATAGAACCTTTCTCGTGAACCCCCTGTACTGTGATTAAATATGTAGTTTGCTTGGCCATATGTTTGCTTGGCCAACAACCTTTTCCATCGATTACACAGCGTTCTTTTCGCTCACCAAGGTATTGTAATAAATTGCTTTTGTGGAACTTAATTGATTAGCCTTGATCAGCTGCGCTCCAGGACATCAGACTGGGGGAGGAAAGCTGGAGGACTTGGCAAACACCTCGAAAGTGGCACTGGCCTCGAGTTGGTCAGTCGCCAGTGCCTCCAATCTATTTATTCATCCCGTGTTTATTTCTTCGCCGTTCCGGGCCGTTGACTGATGGTTTATTACTCCCAATATACTGTATTCAGACCGACGTGTTGGCCTCGCTGGCCAAGGTGGGAAAAACAAGGAGACTTGGTCGGATCGGCTCATTTCACTAATAGTAAACGTAATCACATAAGCGGAACCAGTTGGTCAGGAAGGAGTCTCCCAAGGGTTGTGATTAAGTAAATTGATTTAGAATATACGGCTAAAGAATGTTGTTCTGAATACATTTAATTTCGAAGCCTACTGAAGAATTATATTCTAACACCCAATCTTAATTGTAATAAATAATAATTATTATTGGACTAAAAAATTAATTTATAAATACATTTCGGCTATAATTTAAGATTTTTAAATTATTTTATGTTTTATCTTTTGGTATATATCGATAATAAACGTGTTATTCCTTTTTTTTACGACCTACAAAATAGATAAAATAAATTTTTCTAACCAAATTTAAAATCGTATATCAACTCGCTTTTACTGCCAAAAACGTCCACTTAGTTTACTCAATTAAATCCAAAAACTTATTAACTTCAGCGAAAAGAAGTTTCCGTTGGTTTAATTGCAAACTACTTAATCATTTATCCAATCACAGTCCACAGTCCGAACAATCGTTGCTATGGAGGCGGAAGGTCCCACTGGCGTCTCCATTCAATTAAAGTATACTCATAGAAATTTTTACCTAAATACTAGAAAAGTCGCCCTAAAACCAAGGTCGCCCTAAAACTACGAAAAATGTTCTTATTATACGGGTGGCTAGCCCTAAATATACGAAAAATCGCCATGGAAAATATTTTTTAGGGTTAGTTTTTCCAAAACGCCAAATTTGCCCTGTTTTTTAGGGCGAATTTTTATGAGTCGACTCCAAAAGTAATTCCTTCTTTTTAGGGCAAAATCGCCCTAAAACGCAGAACAAAATAACCAAAAATATGTTCTGAAATTGCCCTAAAAACAAGGAAGAGTCAAACGAAATTCTAAGACGCAATTAATGGATACACATGTAATATGTGTGTATGTGTGTGTGGTTGGCAGGTCAAAACAAGTGAATGTGTGTGTATATTAGGGCGGACCTTTTTCTATGAATTTTGATGCTGAGCGCATTTGACTTTAGAAAAGTCCACCCTTTTTCTTCTTCTTCGCTACTTTTCGTCCGTTGCAGTGGCAAGGGGGGTAGAAAGAGTTGCGTTGTCTAGACTTTGTCATAATTTTTCGGGCGCTTGGCAGTAAAAGACGTGTTTGTATGAAACCTTTTGTTTGTGAAAAAGTGAAAAATGTAAACGCTATTAAAGGACTTGGGAGGCGATTCTTTCTCAGTTTTCTGGTGAGTACATACATATATAATTGTGCAATTTGGATATTAACAACTAATTGAATTTACATATCTGTAACAGGGGAAAATGCAGCTGAAACTTAAAAAGATTTGACTGGAAGCAGCGGTCCAGATGTAGAGTTTTGGAAGTGTGGCAGAACAAAGTAAGAACATTAATAAGAGTATACATATATGTATGTGTATATGTAAATAATGCTTGAGGTAAAAAGATGATGCAACAGAATACACACTTGTGTACATATATATATCTACCAGAAATCTGTATTTATGCACCCGACAAACCGCATTCACAAGTGCATATGCCAACATAACCCCAAATTTCTATTGCGTCATTTCGTCAGTAACTGAAATTTGCTTTTGTTGCTTCTTTTTTTCCAGAAGTAGCAGCAAACGCAATCGCAGGCTAAAATTCTGAAAATTCTGACTGTTAGTAGTGCATTTTTATATTAATTTCTAACAATTTTTTTCTCTTGTTTTAGATTGAGAACGTCTTTGAGATCCAGCTTCCGCAAACCACTTTTCGCACTTTTTAAAAGCGAAAGTAAGGGAATAAAACTGCTCAAATCTTTGGAAAGCCACGCTGAAGGTATGTGCTTTTTCTCTTTTTCTTTTCTCATTCAATAAATAGACTGTTTTTATTTAATAGAGATACAATCAACTTTAATTTGGCTTGCGATACATTCAATGTTGGTGCGACAGCAATGACAAAAAAGGACGGCGGGAGCATGAACGCGAAGAACACCATTGCGGACCCGCGAAGCCGTTTCTTTGTTTGGAAGGCTACTGTTGGGGAACTGCAAACACATCTAAAGGCATTGACGGAAAATTGCTAATCCGGAAAGCCGAAACTGCAACCATTCAGCTGCAACGTGGGAACAAGCCCTTTTTGACCTTGGTGAATTTCCAGTTTACCTATCAGAGGTTTTTTTATAGAATGCGAACCTTATTGAAAAGTATTGATGTGTGCTTCAAAATATTTTCTGTTTTAAACCACGACATTTATTAAAAAAATGTTTTATGAAATTCATTTGGAGTCTGATAAGAAAGGTAAAGCTTTATCCGAACTCTTGAAGGATTATAAAACCTTAAAACTGTAACTATTTTAAAGAAACAATCTGTTCATTCCAAAAAAAAATATTATTTCTATGCATTCAATTAGAAGTAAAATTTGATAATCAGTACTTATTGTAATAAACCTTAAAAAAACCTAAAGACCAAAAAATACATTAAGCCAAAACATTATTTTTAAGATCGATGTAATTCTTTTAGCAATAAGAATAAGTAGAATAAGTAGTAGTATGTAAATGTATATAATTAGAAATTGTGTAAATAACAACAAACAAAAATATAAAAAAAAAAACAAAAATGAAATCGTATTTTTATTTATGAAAAATGGCCGTGAAATTTTGGGGAGCATTTTGCATGTTTTAGGGCAATTCGCCTATAAATCCAGAGAAAACGCCCTAGATTTATGAAAATCTGCCTTTAGTTTTAGGATATTTTTCCTTATTTCTAGGGCAATTCGCCCAAAAATCCAGAAAAGCACCCTAGATTTATAAAAAACTGCCTTTAGTTTAAAGGTATTTTTTCCGATTTCCAGGGCAATTCGCCTATAAGTCCAGAAAAATCGCCCTGGATTTAAAGGAAACTGCCTTTAGTTTAAGGGTCTCATTTCTTATTTTTATGGCAATTACCTGTGAAAATAGAAAAATCGCCCTAGATCTACGAAAAATCGCCCTAAATGTATGACAAATTCACCCGTATTTTTAGGGCAATTTGCCCTAATTTTGTTGCCTAGTCGCCATTGACCCCCGTTTTAGGGCGATTTTCCTTGTTTTTAGGGCGATTTTACCGGAAAATTTCTATGAGTGTAGTTTCTGCTGATGCTGCGACTTTCCCCAACGCCTTAATGCAATTGAGCTACGTCAGAGCTGAGTCCGTATATTTGTACACAAAAGAAAATTAGAAATACAAATGCTTTAATTTTTAAATTAATCAAGCTTTATTCGTGTGCACTTACAATTAATATTTAAAAAATATTAGAAAATACTGAAATTATAAAATAGTTGTTTACGATAAAAGCCCGAGGTTCACTCCTCAGCGAGTGCAAGTGTGTTGAAATGCTAAATTAATGAGTTATTTATAACCAACTATGACCTTGAGTTTGATAAAATCCTCACATTTATAAATAAATAAACAATAAAAAAAAAACACTTTTTAAATAATTTTTATGATAATTTGCATTGGCACCATTTCCCAAAGTCACTTAATTTTAACAAATAAAAAATCATTCAACTGGCTATAGTTTTTCTCAGTGCTCCCGTATCTCTGGCCATGTCCATCGACCTCGGCAGGGGAGCATTTGACAAGCGTGTCGTGTTACCAGCGCCTTATGCCTGTCTCTGTGTGCTGCATTAGCCCGGCTTTATCCGAGCCACTCACACTGAGACACATATGCTGATGGGGGCGGCGGAGCCAAGGGGTGGAGCCAAAGCCGGGAAAGTCGGGGGCCTCTGCCAGCCTTGTCACTTATGCAAAATCCCCTAATGGAGGCATGCCGAGGTGTAAGAAAAACAACAAAAAACGGAAAACTCGAGCATGGCAATGCAGCCTGGATGCTGTTGCTTTTCTCTCTCTTTTTTTTTTTGCTCGTTTTCTTGCCATTACATACAAATGCTCTTTAAGCGGATTTCGTAGCGTTTTACTTGTTTGCCATTGTTAAACTGAGTGCTCAGCATAAGGCTGCGACTCCCAGACGACCGCTGGACCAGCAGGATACTCGTTAAAGCTGAGCTGTTTCTGGACATTTTTCCGATGGTTTCGGGTCTTGGGGAATCGGGTCAGAAAGTATGCCGGAGGAGGTCGGAGTATGGTATTTTTAAGGATCGCAGGAACCAAAAATTTAACAAAAAAAAATAAATTAAAAACCTAGCAAATAACTTAAACCAATTTTATTTTGTATACACTTTTATCAATAACATTTTCATTGCTTTTAATCTAGTAGTTTCTTTTTATAAAATAAAGTTAATTAAAATAAATTCTAATTTTTGTTTTCGCGTATCTAAAGGCAAGATCAGTCGTATTTGTCATACTCAGCCATCTCTCCGTTTTACAGGTAATTTTCCTTGTCGGTCACGATGTAAAGTATTATTCCTAATTTGATACAAAAAATCAAAACTCAACCGAAAGTGCTTAGGCATATTTTTCTTAAGTTTTTCTTTGGGGTTTGTTGACCAAAAAAAAAAAAGAAACAGCGGGGAGCAGTTGGCAAACCCTTTTAATTATGCCAGAACATGCGCAAATATTTTCCTTATGGCCGCTTCACTCTTCGCTGCTTAACATTAATTAATTCTCGGCTTACGGAAAGCTCAAGTGTGTGTGGATGTTTGGCCTGCTGACTTGGGACCGGAAAAGTCAACGTTGGCTGCCCAATTTTTAATTAAATTATCCAAAAGTATATTTGCCTAATTTGATAAGAAATCACTTAGGCAAAAAAATTGTTAAAAAAGTATATACCTACATTTTGGAAAGCGAGAATAATTTCGACACACACTGGTACTTATTTTGTACAGGATTTGATTATAGAAAATGAGAAACTAAAAAATAAGCTGAACATTTTCTGCAATACTTCTAAGTATAAATTCATGCGGTCAAATTATTGTTATTCTTGTCCCCTCTCGAACTCTAGTGCTATTACATATGCTAAGAGTTAGGGCTTTGCGCCTTACGTCCTATGAATTATTCTCCTTATTGGTCCTTTTGTTCGTCCATCAGTAAGTGGCGCAAATCAGGCGTCAACTTCCACCCATGGAAATCAATCAAGTATAAGGCGCAGACGTTGCGATTTTACGAGGCGAGCGGCATCAAAACCAACGACAAAAAGTAAGAAAAGAAACGTCATAAAACTTATTTACTTAGCACCAGCAAAATGGTCCACGCAGAAGTCAGGTCAGGTTCTCCTTAAACAAAAGGCAAAAAGAAAGCAGCATAAAGCGAAGTAAAAGCTCAGAAACAAGCGGAAAGCAAAGTCGAGTCAACGAAAATGGGGCTGTCAATAATCATAAAATTCCTGGGGAGCAAAAGTAAGGGAAAATTCCGAATCGGGGCAAAGGAAGCGAATGAGAAATGAGATTCTGGGCGATGAGCTCCTACTTGAATTTGTTAAATTGCCTGTGAATGACAAATATTGTGTTATAATTTCTATTAAGAAAATTAAGCAGCGGCACCGCATTGCGTATGCGCATTATTTAATTTGTCTAAGTGTTGTCGCAATAAAGTAGTCGTGAAATTCAGTCCATTTTCGGATTTAAAAAGTGCTGTAAAAGCGGGCAGATCTTAAAGGCCTCGAATGGCGACTAATGGACAGTGACATAAGACACAGACTGACAGCGAGGCCCAGACAGCTTTCAGCCCAATCCCTCTTACCGTCCAAACGGAGGGCCTAACGTGTTTGGACATGGCCAAGAAGCGTAGACAATGGCAGACACAAAGCGACTTCAAGTGGGTGGCAAACATAAAAATGGTTTCTTTAATTTTGTAGCACGACAACTTTCCCCTCCGCAAAAGCTTTATGAATTTTATATGCATCCGAAGAGTGTGCTTCATAATATTCAAGTTGTTTCGGACCGAAATCAAAATGGCAAAGTTCGGTTTCAACCAAATACTGTTGCCGACCCTCAGGCTTATCGATTTGCTATCAGATAAATACCTAAGAGATAAATGTCATAAATCATTAAATTTGAAATCCTCTCAAGCTAAGACGGCAAATAGATAAATCTGATATAGCGGTGTATTTTATTCCATAAATGTTATGTCGATTCGAAACATTAATAACAGATTTCCAGGTCATATGACAGCAATAGCTTGAAATTAATACTTCAGAAGTTTAATTATTATATTTTATTTTGAAACTTGAAATCTTTCATATTTATTGTTGCATTTTTTTTAAGAAAAGAATCACTTTACTTTGATTTAAATGTTGTGCAAAATATTATTCTATATTTTTACAATTTACTTTAAATTTTAAACTTTAAATGTTATTTGCGACTTTTCACTTCTCATATGCGGCAAAAGGGAATAATACGAAATCAAGAGTCCGCAATGAATGGCGCTAAGGTTCGTTGGCTGGTCGTCTCCACAACTCATCAAAATGAGCAGCGGATACTTAATCTGATTTACTTGCCTCAGCCAAGTCGGAGCCAACAGGATAGCAGCTGAAGCTCTGGCAAACCGAGCAAACAAGCGTCTTCATAAAAAGCGACATCTCGACCGGGCCAAGAGTGCTTTTCTCAGAGGATGAGGAGCAGGTCGTGGTGGAGGAGGAGTGCCAATGGTGGCCCAGGACCATGGCTGCCATGGGCTGCTCGTAGCTGGCGTTCTGCGGCGTTGTGTACATCATAAAAGAGCGATAAGATAACCATGCCCAGCGACGACCGACCGTGGCACTTGACTGCTCCAAACCCTCGCTGTCCGACTTCCTTTGTCCCAACTAAAACATACTTTTGATACCCTCATATATTTGCAGTGACTTACAGGATTAACTTTAAATATTACTATTATACAGACGGTTCTTTTTATTATAATTTAACAAACTTATACATTTTAAAGCAACAATTTAAATAATTTAACTTTAATGTAACTTTAACATTCTGGCCGAATTCAAAATTGTTTTTGACACGGGCGTTCCTAAAAATCCCCTGCCCTTTAAAGGGTATCTCCATTTCTCTCCTAGTGCTATATTTGATTTTCATTGCCCGACGGCCTCGGTCCATCTCCCACCAAACAAGCATCTCCTGCCGCTTTTGCTCCTCCTACTTCGTTTGGTTTCTGAGCTGCCAGCATCTTTAGTGTGATTTATTTGGGCAGAGCACAATGTACTTTCTTTTCAAATAAATCATAAATTTCAACGCACCGCCTTGCAGTACACAATTGTTGTTGATGTTTCGCCAACTCAAGATTCTGCCACTCCCAATAATAATTTTTGCCCATCTCCTGAATTTTGCTCCCGTTTTCTTTCAGCATTTTCAAGCCTGAGTTGCTATGTCATCTGGCCTATGGCAGCGCTGCGACAGCAATTGAGTTATCCAAAAAGGCTATCTAAACAGAATGGAAGATGTATTCGTTAAGATATTTTATATTATATTTATTGTATTTTTATGGCACTTGGGCATTTGGCCTAAGTCCCCGCCGTTTTGTTTGCCCGTTGAAAAATGTAAAACGGATCTCGACCCTCTGGAAGGCCGCAGGGAGAATTATGAGCTAAGCGCGACACGCATGGGTAAAAAGGATGGGTGGGTTTGGGTGAAAGTGTCAGGAATGGGTGGTTCTTCCAGTCCAAGTACTGACCATGTTGAGCAGGAAACACATGATTTGTGACGCTTTTTGTTAAGCCAGCTAGTCGAGTGAGATTTAGTTCGCTATTATTTCGCTTTTAAGTTTGATTTACAGGCAACACTTCATTTTGTTTGAAAAAATAACGTCTTTCTGGCTGTTACAATTTTTATATAACCCCTTACATTTTTACTAGGTGTCAAAAAATATTTTAATATAAATTTAACTAGATTTTCTTTATTAAATTTATCACAATTTTTTAGCTACTTTCTACTAAAGCTCCATCATCCGCCGATTTTCTCAAATGCGAGTTACTTCCTTTTCCTTATTGACCTCATCGATTTGAACCTGAATGGGCGTACGATATGCACTCTGAACCATCATGGACACCAGTACCATTTCCACTAGGATTAGGATGTTAATAATAGCTGAAAAAGACGAAAATAAATTAGATGGACAAATTTCTAAAGCAGTACAATAATAAATGTTATTGCTAATATAAATGTCTAAAGTCCACGAATGTAATAGTAAGATACTCACTTTGCTTATAGATGGTGTGATTGATGGGATACTCCCCACCCATTTTGATGCCATCCAGCTGATCGTAGAGGATCAAATACTGCAGCTTGCACAGCATCACCACCAATTGGAGGCAGAACATCTTCTTCCTCAGCTGATAGTCCCCGCGCAGCTTGGTGATTGCCCTCACGGTGATTTGAAGGGACCAAACCCTATTTATGAACACATATTTATTAATAATATTATTTAATACTATAAAATAAAGTTATTACCCCATGACAATAGAGCACACGATGAAGGGGATGAAGAAGTACATGACCTGGTGGTAAAGCTGAATGTCCCTGTAGTACAGGATGTTCATCACCAGCATGATGGAACCCTGCCAGAAGGGCATTTGCCAGACCTAGAAACGATGTAATATAAACTAATGTTTCGTTTTAAAAGCTATTTCTGGACATACCATGTATCTGGAGATGCAGAGCTTCGCCTTGGTGGGTATTACCAACGGCAAGCAGAGGCAGCAACAGCAGCACGGTGGAGTATTAAGTTGCACCGTCTCGCCGCCCGTCTCCTTCACGAAATTCTGCTCCGAGTTTACGTAACGGAAGAGCAGGGTTCGAAACACCGGTCCGCCGACCATGAACATCACGTGCATCACCGTGTGGCAGATGAACCAGGAGTAGGGCACCAGAATGGTAACCAGGGCAGCCACCGAGATAATCGGATACAGGCCGACCATCATAATCGAGGGCCTCAAGAGCGGCTTGTTCAGGTGACGACGAAGCCGTGAGACTGTCGTCGAGAAGATGCAGATGTTAAGGATTGTCAGCAGACTGGCTATGAAGATGGCGAGGCTGAGGAAGGCAGTCATGTCTGTAAGTGAGTTGTCAAAAATCCAATTAGTCGGGAAAAGAGGATTGGGTTTCGGGCGGGAGCACAAACTACTTTTGTTAGTCAACCAATAAGTAAAGGTGCTTAAGTTTAGGACTACTGTTACTAATTATTATTTGATATTTCTTGTATGTATATTTGTAAACTATATCTAACTAAAAAAACAATTGATTTATAAATTTATTTGTTTATTTTTAGTTTTTGTAATATGTTTGCAAAGGCACAAAATTTTAAAAAATCTGGAATACCTTTTGTGTAAAATTCGTAGTTCCAATTTTACAATAGGTGCTAATATTTTTAGTTAGCAGCTTTAGATGCAAGTTAAAAAGGTAAATAGGTGTATGTAAACTATTCAACAGAATTAGTAAACAAGATACTATTTTAGTAAGCCAAGGATTAGTTAAAAAGTAACAAATTTCAGTTTTTTTACGTTTTTTTAACCAGTTAAAACTATTTAAGAAAATCTTTTACTCACTTTCATAATACTCTTCCACCGTGGGGTGTGTTCGAAGGCTCTTTGTGTCATTTTTCTGCAGATCCAAAACCTGCGAAATCTGTTCCGTCGGGTCCATCGATATGTAGTCCTCGGTGGCATTCATTGTGCGGCTTTTATAATTAAGGTGATAAATTCAAACTGGGGCAAGCTGGTGCAATACTTCCTGGTTTTCCTTCGCTTACGCTACGGCACTTCACTTCACATCTTTATCATTGTTCACACTATGCCAGTTAGCAGACTTTACACTTTATTAGCACTCATAAATGTATCTAAGAGTTTGCGTTTGCTGTTATATATTCGCAATGTGGGTGCTGTCAAATAAAGTGGGGAAGCAAAGAGAAGGGTTATTAACCGAGTCAGGTGAAAGTGCGAAAAGTGTGCAGAATTTTTAGGTTGGTAACTGATTTGGTCAGCAATGGAGGCAATGCACCTTACTAGATTGAATTCGACGCGGCTTGTTTGAAGTAATGAATATTATATTATAATTAATATATGCTAAACAAAAGTCTAGACGAAGTGTTAATACCCTCAATCACGATCCCATGAAGAGAATTAACTCATTAGTGGTGAAAAGAAACTCCGATGACACATCTCTTCCTGAAGCCTTCTACATCATCTATACTCCCATGAATCCTTATCCAAGACCTTTATTAACCTTGGAAGGTTCAAAGCCAACTGAAAAGAGTAAAGCGTTTCGCTTGATTTTTATATGAGCATCCGAACCCTCACGTGACAGCAAACCCAATCAAACCAATAAAAAATTCACAATGATCTGCACATAATTCGTAGTTTGTAGACGATATTCAAATACAAAACTGCGGAACACTGACACAGACAGTCACCAAATTTACCCGTCTGTTGGGTATGAATAATTCATTGAAAAACAAACGAAGGCAAGAGATAAGATAATCCTTTTGATTAACACATTAACAAATACTCTTTATAAACTAATTACTTTTGTGACTAAATACGTATACTTATATTGGGTTAGCCAAAATTCCAGTTTAATATTGTTTCAGTTTGTGTTGCTTAATTTTTCTGCACTCATTACCTTAAAACCTATAATAAACCTAATTAAAAATTGCAAAACAAATGCCATTTCAGTTAGCACTTTGAAAGAGCATATAAACATCGTTAAGTCGGTAACTGAAACTTAAGTCCCAAATAGCCCAGATGTTTATAACAAGTCTGAGGAGACGAGCACGTGACTTAAGCCTTAGGCGATTGAAGAGAGTCCATCCAGTTTTTTGGGAAACAAAGAGACCGAGTTGGGCTTCCAAATAGTAAACTGGTTTTCGAAAGCATAGGCAGGTAACAGACCGGCCATACTAAAACACATTTTACGAGTAGCTTGCCTCATTGCACTGCGCGTTATGTAAGCTCTTTGTTATTGTCCATTTCCAAACTGGTTTTATATTTTTGCACAGTAATAACGCATACAATACCATGTTGAAAGTACCTGTAAACGCACTGAAAACATGATTCAACATCTCGCAGCGCCAACAACGACCTTCAGATCTGCTCCGAAAACGTGTCAAAGTCCCCGCGATCTGACCTCAATTTAGACTCAGACTTCAACGTAATCCGGAGATGTGGAAATGAAGTAGAATCGTGTCTTATCGTCGACAAGCCATAGATCACAATCCACCATCTGACGATCCAATTTCATCAGCTGGCGAAAAGAGAGCACATCCATAATTAATTTACAAAACCGCCATAAATCATTTTTTTCCAGCAATTAGCACAAAATTCGCGGATTCGTTTTTTGTTTAGCACATTCTAAGGTGCGTAAAACAAACCGCGAAAATAAGCGTCATAAATATTATATACGAGTATCAGCATAAAGTATATATATACTTTTGGGTGGGTTTTTAACATTTTGCAAATGGATTTGGCACGCTATAATCAGCAAATAAAAGTGTCCAAATATTAATAAATATTTTAAGCTCTGTAGTTTAAACGTGCTAAGTGAGCAGAACAGAACCCTATTTAGAAATGTTCTTCAGAAAGTTCGAATATAAAGATTACAGTCGCAAAGTTCAATGTCAGCTGAGTAAATAAAGTTGTGTTTTTGTATACCAAGAGAAAATATTCATTACTCGTTAGGTTTACTTTTAAATATGTTCCATTTTGTTTTATACCATTATGTTTAAAAAATTAAATAATAAACGGACAGAGGATAACCACTTCAATTTATTATATTTTTTTGCCCCGAAACCGTGTAGTAAAAATAATAATAAAGTTGTATAACTCTCTCAAAAATTGCACCAGTGAATTGTCGAAATGAAATGTAAACATCGGCTAAAAACGAAAAAAGTTTTGCTGTTGGCACATTTTTTTGTGGCAACAATTTTGAATAAGGCGCTCCTCTTCATTCATTTTTTTTCTTACTGCTTTTTAGCCGACTGCCTTCTTTTGGTCGGCCATGACTCCTCACCAAGATATTTCCGAGCTTTTGCGCTTAACAAATTCAAATATCTTGGCGAGACAAAACGCTGCAAAATAAATGGCAAAATACACGACCTTACGCAATGCAAACAAATTGAGCAGAGCGGAAAATGCTTGCAAACCCAAAATAAAACAGAACCCATAACCGAAAATCAAATGCAAATACAGATGCAGTGCCTGGGACAAAATCAAAATCAGAACTCAGACCGCAAAATGTAATTTGTTTTCTGGTCGACAAAGCAAATCATTTCCCTGCTGAAATTCGCAAGAGGAATTTGCGCAAAGTGAGTTGTGGATGCAAAGAATTTTCCCGTCTACAGTCACTAAAGATAGCAATTCATTAGACAACGTGTCAGGCCAAGACATTCGGGAATGCCAGCTATCTAGATAAAAATTTAATTATTTTGCTTGTACGATAAGATGTTTCAACTCCCAATTATCACATATTTTAAACCAAAACAATTTTGTAAATACGCGGAATCGTTTGTGTGAAGTACAAACTTCCCGTGAAGAATTCATTTAGGTTGAGTTAATATCTTTTGTGTCTGTTAATGGCATGTCGGATGGCGGTTAGATAAGTTAAATATTTCTCATTCACTTTATTAAACGACAACAATATTATGTGACAAAACACTGACAGCACGGAACCGAAGAGTTATAGAATTGGTTTGACAACCAGACTTCTTTATGTTTTCTTGTTTGTAACCTTGACCATCATCACACTTCACCCAATAGCCTTGGCATTGCACTTCATTGAATAGTTTACAGAATTTCAATTAAAACCATATGCATTTCAACTTGTCTTTAATTCATTTTGATTGCTTCGGCATCAACAAATGAAAAGAGTAATTATTCATTACATGTTCACACGGCTGTTCAGTTGTTCATGTTGCATGGGGTTGTATAATGTTAAGGGTCGATCACGAGTTAAACACATTAAAGGGGAGAATCAATAAACAATAAAAATACATTGCACTGCAATTGGTTGAATGATTTTTGTTTAATTTGTGCACTTTTCTCTATTTTTATTTGCTGCTTACACTTTTCACTCACTCTCCGCTTTTCTCTGTTGTTTTTTGTGCACTTTTTTAGCCGCGTGTGTCTTATTCGCTCGCGCTCTGTTCAACAACTGAAAATGAAACTCAAAATATTGTAGTGCCCATGCCGATCACGAACGTGAATGCGCCCATCTCACCATCTCAGACCACGGGCTATATGTCGGCAATACGGCTATATGGGTGTATGTATGTGCTGGTGTTTGTTTCGGCCAAAACAGAAAATAGCGGTAGCAATAACAACAATACGTGCATACCTGCTGACGCGATGTGCTAATCGTCATTTGTCGATTTCAAACGCTGCTGCTGGGAAAAGTTTTCTTAACACTCGCTCATTGCGGAAGTTGGTTATTTGCCGATCAAAAAGCGTTTGCTTTGGCCAACTGAAGTGGCTCAGAAAGAGGCTTGTCCTGCTAACACGTTGGTCAAAGAGTGGCGAAATGCAAAAGGAAACTTCAACAATTGAAAGTGAAAATTGGACCAAGCAATTAAACATACATACATTTCAAATTTAAATATTTAAAAATGTAGTTAATGTTTATCTTAAGCAGTATCTTTTATGAAGTTTGTTTCTTAAAAATTAGTAAAATAAATGTATTAAAAAAGTAATGCAATTGTACTTTTACAGAAATTAAATCACTATGGACGGCAGTCCATGTAGTGACGAAGCGCACCAGGAGAGTGTGCGAAGGCGACTACTATATATACACGAAGAAATGAAAATCTAGTGTGATGGTCCGATCATAATGAATGATACACCAATCGAAAGGTATTGCAAAAACTTAAAGGATTGCATACCAAGACTTTAAGAAAATCAATTGGCTTCGGAGAGAGAGCGGTGAAAGTGAAAAAATGAAAATTTCGAAATTTGGAGCTGTTGGGGCCGGTGGGGATAAATGCCCCCTCGCAATGTTTTAGTTGTATTCCTTTTGAAAATACCCGTCGAATGAGGGGTCATTTGTCAAAATCCGACGCTCCGTTCAAAAGTTATAGCCAAAATAAGATTTCCTTCTTCTTCCCAAAATGAAAATGTAATTCTGTTTGTCAGTTTGTCAGTTTGTCAGTTTGTCCAAAACATGTTTCTTAAGTTTTGAAAATTTAATATGACGTTCATCCCATCGATATAAAAAACTTTTGTTCTACCACTTTTGGAAAAACTCGCTAGTTTAGCGGGAAAACAGCTATAAATAGCTAAAATTCGGAAAACCGTAACTTCTATACTACTAAAGCTACAGACTTGTGCTGCATCTTGTTTTAAAGGTATTTTTAAATGCTATAAACGCCTTCTATATGCAATTTGTGTAAATGTAATAATTAAAAAGATATGAACAAAAGACAATTTTTTAAAACTTTTTTTTAGCTTTTTTTTATTTTTCTCAAAAACGGCTCTAACGATTTTCTTGAAAACTTTAAACTGTATAGCCCTTGAGATTCCTTAAATTTTGGTATATAACACATTACTGTAAAAAGTCACGTTTAAAAGTTATTTTTATACGAAAATAGCCACTTTTGCCAGCTCGAACAATTAACGCTCCCTGAGTATTGAGTTTTGTGGGAGGGTATCCGAACTGTATTTTAGGGTCATGGAATCTGTAAATTTGCACTTAAGAGTTCCATATAGGAATCTTTTGCTCTACGACTTTTGGAAAAAGCCGCTACTTTAGCGGGAAAAAGCTAAAAATAGCTAAATTTCGTTAGTTTGTAAGTTCTATACTACTAAAGGTACAGACATGTGCTATACCTCCTTTAAAAGGTATTTTGAAATACTTCAACGCCTTTTTAACTTAATTTGTTAAAATACAATAGTTTAAAAATTATGATTGACCAATTTAAATTTAAATGTATATATTAGCTCCTATGAGAGCAAATGTAAACAAACAAAAACTTCTGATATCAAATAAAAACACCTCTTAACGAGGTAAAAATCTAGTGACGACCGCACCTTCAACATACAAAAGTTCTGATATCAACATTTGTGACGAAAAATTATTACACTCGTCATTAAATAGACTTTCTAATCTTTTCTCATTCGTCACGCTGCAATAGAAAATGCCTGTAAAGGGAAAGAGGCTGGAATAGTTTGCTAGGGCGGGCCGAATGAGAAAATATTAGAAAGTCTATTTAATGACGAGTGTAATAATTTTTCGTCACAAATGTTGATATCAGAACTTTTGTATGTTGAAGGTGCGGTCGTCACTAGTTTTTTACCTCGTTAAGAGGTGTTTTTATTTGATTGATATTACAACGAAAATCTAAAAACACTTGGTATAACAAATTTGTAAAAACATCGTTAAAATATTTTTTTATAATTTTCAGCTTTCTATAAAGAAAACAAAAAAAATTTCTTTTATTTTCATTAGTGAAAAACTTTTATTTTTATCATATTTTGCATAGTTCTAATGTTTTGTCAACCACTGTGCAATTGAGAAAATTGCAATCCTGTCTTCCGGTCTGGCCAACCCAATTTTCATCGCCATCGCTGAGCACTTAAGCTAAAAGCTAATTTGTATAGAGAAATGCCATCAGCTTATTGGAACGTCCAGAACTTATGGATTCCGCACCAGAAACCAATTAACATGTCTAACCAGAGGATAATTACTTTTTCCAGTGTTCGATACTGACCCCAGGGACTATAAGTCACAGATATCATGGCAAACGAATGAAGTTTCTAATGGCGCATCAATCAACTCATAATTTGCACGCCCCCGAGTGAAAAACCGTAGGTGCGATTATTTTAATCGAAGCCAGCAGTCAAACACAAAATTCCCCATACAATTTGATATTCAAATTAAACTCATTAGAAATGCCATTAAGCCAAGTGGACTTCGAGTCCAAAACACAGCCCGAGGCGTGGGTATATCAAAAAACGTAAATCTAAGGCACATCCGCTTACTAATTTAATGAGCGGTCCAATGAACCTTTTTTGCTATCTCTTTTCGCTCGCACTTTATGTAACCAATCTAAAATTAAATGCTAATTATTCAACCCAAAAATTATGCAATAAATTATGCCCAGAATGCGAACTGCCAAGTTGGTAAGTTTTTATTGCAGAATCTGCGGCGGTGGCTCATAAAAAGAAATTATGATGGCTGGCCGCCATGCAATTTCACTTATAATTTGCAAATAAATCTAATTGTGTAAAGAGGGTCAGAAGTGATAAGGCCAATTAGAGGAGGAGGACGAAAGGGAAAGAGCGGAAAGCGGTCAGGGTAAAAAAAGGCAGGAGAACAGAAAAAAAGTTTACAAAGTGATTTAATGGAACAATTTGGAAGTTATGACTGTAAACAATAAAAACAAATTTTTTGTCACTTCGGACTTAAAGTTTATTTCAATAATAGTTCTGAAAGATTAATTTAAATAATTTTTTTAAGATGTAAAAGATGTGTTAAGCATTGCCGCAAAGTTAATGTTCTTGGAAAAGCAATTTAAACCTTGCATACATTTCAATGTTAAGCGTAATCAAAACAGGTCTATCTCAAAAGTAATTCCAAGAATTTCTCAGAGAGTGCCTAGCTTATTTATATATTTTTTATTTGTTTTGTTATTAGGGTATTTTAAATGGATCTGAGTACTTCTTAGTAGTTTATAGAGCTTCTCATTCTGAAAAAAAGTAAAATTTAAAATACAAAATATTTCCATAAATTTTTAGTGTCTACTACTTTTGCAAAAAAATGTGGCATATGCAAAACAAATCTTCCCGCAGTCTCATGACTTTCTTAGAAAACCCCATGGAAACCCGCGCTGAATTCCTTATTTGCTGTCAGCGATGATTGTTTGCCACCATTTCTTACCTGCAAGACTCACTGCATCCTCCAGCGTGGCAGCTCCTTTGAATCCGCCTGCTGTGAATCCTCGCAGCTTTTGAAAAAGGGGGCCAGCGGCCAAGCAAGTCTCCTCGCTGCTTAAAGAAAATATAAAGTTTTTTGGGACCCGAGGCGACGCCTTTGAAGGCGACGTCACGATTTCAGCGCCTCGCCAGCTTTTTCTTGTCGGTTTTCATTTTCTCGCCACTGTTTATTTGCCGCCTTTGGGTTTTTTTATGTTTTCTTATTTTGCTCATTTTTTCGCGCTCGTTTTTTCGCAAATAAGCAACAATGCAGCCGCCATTTGAATAACACAAAAAGACGTTGAAAGTGAGATGGGAATGAGAAGCCTGGCCCAGGGCTGACTTAACGTTCATTTCTTGGGTCTTTATGCTCTCCTGATTCATTCAACTGTCGCTGTTGTTTCAATTTCAGTCCGCACTTTCATCCTCCGCTTTTCGCCTGTGTTGTTTGCTGTTTAACGAAGCAAATCAACAAATTGTAATGATGCCAAAGTCCTTTTCTGCGTTGCTTGCACTTTTGCCGCCCCCCGCCACCACCCCACAAATTTTGTTTTGTTTTATTTTTTTGTCCCAAACGGCAGACCCGAAACCCATTCAGATCAAGAAATTACTCTTTAGTGGCTTAAGTCGAATTAGGGATACCTGGTATAAACTTTACTACTACTAATTTTGACTTTAAATTTAGGTAGACAATTTACCTTGTGAGGTTCAAGCTAAAATTTTTGTGGATGTTCATATAACTATTTTCTGTAATAGATAAATAATCACCATTTAAAAATATTATAAAGCATTATCAAAGTTAAACTACAATAAATTAACGAATACTAAATGTAAAGCATTTGGGACTTGAATATTATCATGAAAGTTAAGATGAAGCATTTAACTCTTCATAACCAATTAATATTTTAAGGGACCGGCTAGCAAAAATACCCCCTCAGACTCTTCGAATAGAGGGTATCCAAACCCGAGACCCGCACTGGTAGGTAGACAATTTACCTTGTGAGGTTCAAGCTAAAATTTTTGTGGATGTTCATATAACTATTTTCTGTAATAGATAAATAATCACCATTTAAAAATATTATAAAGCATTATCAAAGTTAAACTACAATAAATTAACGAATACTAAATGTAAAGCATTTGGGACTTGAATATTATCATGAAAGTTAAGATGAAGCATTTAACTCTTCATAACCAATTAATATTTTAAGGGACCGGCTAGCAAAAATACCCCCTCAGCCTGTTCGAATAGAGGGTATCCAAACCCGAGACCCGCACTGGCAGCCCTTTTTTGCATGGTGCGCTCCACTTGAGGCGCAGTGTGGCGTAAAATGAATTGAGACATTCGGTGCTCGCATAGAAAAACCCAGATCCTCGGCCCCAAAACCGCAGAGGTTGGTCCTTCAACAACAACTTCTGGTGTGCTCTGCAGCACACTGAATGCAAAAGTGGCAAAAGTTTTGCACCACTCGGCCGCTGAGCTGAGCTCAACCACTTGCCCTCACTTCGTTGTGCATTCAGGTGTGAAGTTTTTGGTCGGCGAACAAAAGTATGCTACAAATAATTAAATCATGCAAAGGCCATTGCTGAAGTGTATTTGTGTGGGTGCTAAGAAGGGGAGAGAGGTAGGGAATTGGCCGGAAACACTCGCCCTTTCTCCCTCTTGGCTAGACAAGTTCAATGCCGCCTTGAGGTCCTTGTCAGCCTGTCAGCTAGTTTGATATTAACCAATCGATATTTATATTCCCCGCTCCCTGGCGGCTGCTCCTTCTGACCTCTCCGTTTTTTTCTTGGTTTCTTCTGCTCGCCATGAATTGGAATTTGCATATGACACAGGACACACTGGACACACAAAAACAAGAAGAAAGCCAGTAAGAACATTGGACCGCGGCCGATATGAAATCGCCACAGGCAAAACACGCTGGCCTCTTCCATCACGTTGGTTTACTTTTTGCACTGCGATGGCCGGCATTTCCGTTTCCGCCCAAAACGCAAACCGAAACGTTCAATTGCAGAGCCAGAGGAAAAAGTGTAAGTTTAATAATTTGTTATTGTAAGTGAACTGTACGTTTTCCGGAGTTTTCTGAATGTAAATCAATGGGATCGTTTATTTAGCAGCAATTCATATAGCCGTTACTCTATAAAAGTGTAAACGAAAATTACTGTGTTTTTAAAACCATTTTTTCATGACCATAGTTCATAAAATAAATCAATAGCAAAAATTTACAATTACTCTCAATTGTAGTATTTTTCTTTAATTTAATTCATTTTTATTACGTTTCGCAATTTAAAAAACTACTTTTAATTTTCTTCTTTAATCTTAAAAATATATTAAAATTAACACATTGCAAGTAATCGAAAGTTGTATACCTGGTCAAACATTCCACCTCCGAAAGTAGCGATTCGGAAAAGCCAAAAACCAAAACTCACGTCGAGATAAATCGAAGTTTATTTGCTCGACTGCTTGTGGCTACTGCACTTTTTCCAGCTTTTTCTCCTCCATTTTTTGGCAGACACTGTTTGCTCTTCGCACCTGCATAATTTATAAGCTAGAAATGATTTGCATGCACTTTTTCCTGCACTTTGTTTGCCTCCTCTTTTTCCCAGGAAGCTCGAAACACAAACTGCCAAGAATGTGAAATGTTTGTGTTTGACTTTGGCTCCGATATGTTGCACTTAAAACAATTGACGGCAAACATAGGGCAAAGAATCCTGTGATTTGGTCAAAACCCCGTAAATTGGTCAAAATGTTCTCTTACGCTCGGTTTTCTGTTCTCTCGCCAAAAGGAAAAGCTCTTCGGGAAAAGCTCCGCTCGGATTTTCCTTATAAACGGAGCGACTGATAAAAACTCGAACAGTTACCGTTTCGGACGCGTAACGATAGCAGCGAATTCCGACAGCTGCAATCGTGGCTAAAACCCAACCAAAAACAACAATACCGAACTCAAGAAAATAACATTCCGGAAAAGCGACGAAATTCTCACCGCAAATTGCCGGTAAAGAGTGCGAATAAACAAATAGGATATAAAATTGTTTGTGTGCGGGGAAAAAACTGGAAGAATTGCGAGCAAACAGAAAGTGTTTCCCTAGTGCTAAGTGTGAAACTCAAACAAACTTTATAATTGGTGAATTAATAAATTAAAGCTCAACAAATGAGGTAAGTGTAAAGGGGAGTTAGAAACTGTAATTAAAGCAGACTGTTGCGGATAAAAGAAATATCTTAAAAAGTGGCATAAGAAAAGGCCTAATTAGGAAAGGGCAAAAAAAGTTTGAGTGAACAAAAATTAAACAGATGGCAGCCTACAAAGTGAAGGTAAAAAAAAATTGTTAAGATTAGGTAATCAAGAAAATTACTGAATTCATATTTGTATCATATCCATACATTAAATGTTAAGAACAACTTTAATACATTTTAATTAATCAACGTCCACAACTGTTATCAATGTCAAAATCAATTTAATTTAATTCTTTATTATATCAAATACCTTCTCATTTAAACGCTGATATTATTATGTTCATGAAAGCCAACCCTTAATTCTCCTTCAAAATTCTGCGAAGCGCACCGGAATCATATACAGAAATCACTCAAAAAATGTTTTATTTCGTCTACCTCCAATTCACAAACAAAAAACGTGAAATTCCCGGGGGAAGTGGCAATTTAACGGCAGTTTGTACTCAGACAACCTTTAAAGCCCTGTTCAGACTGCCGTTTACCCACTCCGAAAATGGTCTTTCGAATTTTCCAGCCACTGTTGGCTTGGTGGAACGTCTGGGCTTAAGTTAAGCACACAGGAGCGACGTCGGGTTAAAAAATAAATTCAGAGGAAGAAAAATAAAAGCGATGCTCAAGTGGCACAGCGCTTAACACAAATTAGACGCACTTAATTACAGGGCAAACAGTCACAAGGAGCGGTCGTAAAATATGCACAAAAAATATAATAAGAACCACAACCCAGCCAGCCTTAGGCAAAAAATATTTAAGCAGTTCGCCGAGGGAAAGAGAGTGGTTAAAAAAGTGGCTGTGGCTGGGAGGGACTTTCAATTTCGGGCATTCAGAAGTTGCGGCTTAAAACTCAATTAAACGAATTGGCAAAAATTTAATTACAATTTCAGTTTCATTTTCGTTTTAAAGGAGATCGCCAAGGACTCAAAAGACTGTAAAAGAGGCGGAGGAAAACAGGATGAGTAGAAAGGGGAGCTGAATGGGGGGCAGAGACATAGGAGCGGGCAAATTGTTTGGCCAGCTGTTGGCAAAGTTTATAAAAAAAACTAATAGTTATTTAAACTGAAAACAATTAACTGCATTTATGACGGGCAAACAGAATGCAGAAGTAAACCTCAAATAAAAATTGCATGGTATAGGGAAACATTTGAATTGTGGTAGTAAGGGCATTTTGCTAATGAAATAAGTTTTGCAAAAATATGAAAATACAAATATTTGAAATGTGTGGAATAATACTTTGGTAATTATTTAATTCATTTACTTATATGCAGTTCTTTGGTTAAGGAAATTAAAAATTCCAAAAGGTCAAAAAATTCTCCTGATAATCTAAAATATTATTATCGATGTAGGTTTTCCTGATGTGGGCAACAAAGGGCGAAAAGGGGACAAATTTAAATTTATAACCAAATACTAAAGAGAAAGTCACTCACAAACTTCTGAATCGTCCTGCGTAAATTGGCCGCCCAAAGTTTTCCAGCCCAAGGCTCAACCCTTCTGCTAATGCCAACAACTTCGACAACAACAACAGCTATTTCCTGTTCCTCTGGGCCCCAAGTTAGCCACGTTTTATCTGCCAAACAATAGGCTCATTAGTGGAACAGCCCACGCCAACACCCAGCGAACCAGCTATAGAATGCCACGCCTCTTAGGCAAACTTTTCTTAATATCAACATTGGGCTTCCAAAAAAATACATAAAATAATATTTTCGTTGCCTGCAAGTTTTAGCGGCAATTAATTCGGGTGGGGAAAACTTTAATGGCGAGGAAAATCCCCAGAAAAGCTACGCCGTTGGCAATAATTGGAAATGAAAATATTTATTGAATTATTCAGGGCGAAAATGTAATGCGCAAGATATTACAAGTTCCGCAATGAACTCTTATTAAGGAAGAATTAATTGAAAGCAAATCTAAAGCTTGGAAACTATTAGAGAAGACGGTTGGGAAGGGGTTCTCGGACCGAAAACTTTTCCTTCAGCCCAAGAGTTGGCCCGTCAATCGCAATTTTCAAGTGGCGACAAAGTAGCGCAGAATGAATATGCAAAATACTTCTTTGAAATAGACTTGACTGTCAGCTCTTGGAAGTCCTCGGCCCTCCCTTTCAGCTGCTCCTGAAACAAGTAATTCCACTTTATTTAAGTTTTTTCTTTAGCAATAAACCGCTTTCGACCAGAAACGGATGCCAATGCGTTTAAGTTTAGTTCACTTCAGATGGGTTGAGAAAAAGTGCGGGAAAACTGCACAAAAATGGAAATCAAGAAAAATGCTATGCGCACTTTCAACTTTAGTTTTACTCTCGGGGCACTAATAAAAATAGCGAGCCAAAGTTTCGTCTTCTGCACTTTTTCGCACTAAAGTGCAAATCTTTTTCGGAGGACTCACAGAGTCCTTAAACAATAAGAAGGGTTCAAAATGTCCTTGGCTGGAAATCGGTAATGGGTCTGTGTGCTCGAAAAATAAATGCATTTTGTATCGAATTTTAAAACTGAAGAAAATTGGAATAAATGAATAATAGTTTTCATAAAAAGAATACCAGTATCCAAGATTTCACACCCCATCCGAAACACTTAAGAACTTAAAAAAACTATAAAGAACACTGCAACAGAATAACGACCGAAAGTGTCGGGATCTTAACTTTTGACAGCACTTTGCACACTTAACTTTCGCAAACTCACGCAGTGCTAAGAACGTTGCGCATACGCCGCGTATGACCAGCTCAAAAAGGACTTTGGCTGGCACAAGAGCAATAAACATAAAAGCCCTGGCGATGAAATGCAAAACAATAAATAATGAAATAAAAAGCTAGCCAACAAGCAGTCGGGGGCCCCCAAATAGAGCCCTCCAAAATTAAGGAAATTAAATATTTACGTATGAAAGCAGTCGAGGAAATTACGCATAGTAAATTATAAAGAGAAAAAAAGGAAATGCTGCCCGAAGAGGAAGTGGAACGAGGGTCCTGGCTTATTACAACACCCCCTAAGGCGAGGCATTACTTTGTCCTTGCCCTCCACACACACACACTTGCAATCACACACACGCTATGGCCATTAATTTATTTTTATGCCAGGCATAATCTTTTCTGCTTGCGGTATTTTGTTTGTATTCATTTGCATCTTCTACCCAACTCCACCCCGAAAAGAATTGCGTATCATACACGTCCCCATCGATAGTGTGCCAAATTTCTTGCGTGGCGACAAACCAGAGAAACAAAGGCCAAGTAAAATGAAAAGGCCAAAAGATACACTTTGAAAAATATTTACAAAAAACAGTTCTTCATCAATTCAATATTTTTGTATAACAAAAACGAAAATTCTGTTGTTTTTCTTATTATTTATAATAATTGCCACCTTATCAAGAGACATAGAATGACAGGGATATTATAGGATAGATAGATATAATAACATTTCTTATCAATGGATTTTCTGACGTTAGATAAGTACAAAATAATGAGGATTTTAACTGACCTCAATAAATATCAGAAATGATATAACAACACAAATTATGATATGATTAAAAGAGCGTTTAATAATGAAACTATTTTAATAAAATTAGTAAAAATTTGTGGTGCTTCCTTTTGCTTTGTGTAGTTAAGCCCAAACGGAGATGAGAGGAGAAATTGGCGTCTTTAAAGATTTTCCTTTGCCCACAAAGAAGCTGAGAGCGAGAATATGGGAATACGGGAGTCCGGAGGTGCGGATCTGGAAAAAACCAAAAATCTCCCTCTTGGGCATACAGCCGAAGCTACCCCTCTACCCCATCCCATCCAAAACCCATCCTCCATACCGTCCCTTCTCTTCGACTTTCAATATCTCTGTGTATATTTCGGCTTGTGAGCCATTTGAATACGTATGCATACTTAATTTGCCACGGCTTTGCCTCTGGTCCGTGCTCAAAGGGCGAGGGCGGTGGGGAAGGCAGGGATAGCCGGATACGGCGAATGGCATACTACATTATTGATTGGATATTTGTGCGGGAATTTAATAAAATATGCAAATTCTCCTTTTTTTGGTACTCCGCACTCAATCGGAAGACGAGCCGAGCCTCTGTCAACGATTGAGTGGCTGTTCAACTGGACGGTCCCAAATGTGGAAGGATGTGCCAGTTGAAGAGTTTGGGATTAATTAAGAATCACTGCGGATTGTAGGAAAGGTCAAAAATGGAAAGGGATACCGCGTTATTGAAAATCAAATCAAATCTTTAATTTACTCTTAAATGAATAATTTTCTATTTAACTTAAAACCTAAAAACTTAATTACACATTTTATATTTATTTTAAAATGAATCTTAACCCTATTCAAAGTGAAATAGGACTAGGAATAGGATTTAATCTACTGTCTTGACCAACTTATTATCACAAGTCCCCAGTAAGTTTGTGATGGATCGATTAAATAGGTTTCGATGAAACTCCTAAGAGCAACTCTCATTACGTATGCGGAAATAATTCAATTTTGTTGCCAAAATTTCAGTAGCAGATGCGAAGCATTTCCATTTCAAAAGCAGACCAAATCTAGGCAGACATCTTACCCTCGCAGATTTTCTGCGTGCCCGCTCATAAAACCAACCCATTTCTCCGGCAAGGTCATCAAATCAGACGGCGGTCCCGAAACAAACAAGTAAAAAATACGCCACAATTGTTTCACGGCAACATCAAAAGAAGACGTCAAATATACCGAAATGTCTTCAGCAGCCAAAACAGCAGCCTGGCCAAAAGCAAATAAAACGACGAAGAAATAAGGCTAACTTCTTTGACCGAAGGCTGTAATGCCCTCGGTACATATTTAGTTGAGTCGTATTTAATAAATTGTAATCACAAAAAATTAAGAAAGCAATAATTAAGGTAAAATAAAAATATATATACGAATATATAACTTAAATACTATAATACTTATCAGAGTGGATTTTCGATTGGATTTATGTTAAGCTAAAGCTTCCAAAAA